GTCACTTGTTTTAGGCTTCCACTAATGAACCTCTCAACGCGTCTATCAGTTCCTTCAAAGCCCTCAAGGCATGTGTCTTGGTTGCTGAACGCAGCACTCAGCCAGGCCTTGAGATTTCCCTCGTGGTGTGCGTCGTTGGAGCCCGACCGGATTATCCTCATCTCGCCGAGGGACCAGGCCAGCTCGGAGACCGAGAAGTCCAGGAGCTCCTTGCAGTCTTCTATGGCCACTTGTTCTCTGTAGTTTATGGACAAGGAGTTGAACCTTGTGATCATTTCGATGGCGGCTCGCGCCTCGTTGAGGGAGTTTTTGAGGGCTGCACTTAGGATTGAGTTCCTTCTCTGATGCTCATCAGGATCTTTTAATTGAGTGTTCATGAGCTCTTGTTGGATATTGGTGAGACATGACTCCTTGTTTTCAATGTCATTGCAGAGTTTCAAAAGCATGGGTTGGTGATCAGGTGAGGCTGAAAGCATAGTGGGGAGAATGATGAGGATGAGGAGAAAATTGGGTAGGCCCATTTTTTGGAATTGGTAAATGGAGAAAGGTGGGAATGGGGAGATTGATTATTTATGTATGTGAAAAGGAGAGTGGGGAAACTTGTGGGATTGTTTGTTATCAAAGAAATGTTTTGTCTTTTGAGTTGGGAATTTACCTTGTGTTATGCTTTTTCTCAGGACAAAGTTAAAAGCTTATGCTTTTTTTTAGCACAAAGTTTTTTTAGTATTCCTTGCTATTGCTGGCTTTTGAATGAGATGCACAATCAAGGGATCTTTGCTGTTCACCTTTTCTAGAATGGGAATCCAATTTGTTTTGTCAGTCCAGAGTCATGACCAGTAAAGGGCTTAAGAGTTGGGCCCAATTTGAAAATGAAAAACAGGATTATTTTTTATCTTTTTAAGTTACGAAATAGGATATAAAAACATACCTTATTGGTAAGACACTATTCTAAACTGAACCATCGTACATTTATTAAGTTCTACTAAATTGTTAAAGTTTTTAGGCCCCCTTTGGAAGGTTGGTCCAAACCAAGTGATTTGTACCATAAAACACTATAATTTTATCATCAGAGAAAATACTGTTTAAACTCTAACCTCAAATGGAGATGGATTGAACTAGTGTTGAAACTTTGAACGGGCCGTCCGTGACCACCAAAAAGTCCGAATTTTTGCCCGATGACCGAACCCGAAATGCCTAAAAATTCGGGCTGCCCGACCCGACCCGAAAATTGCCCATGGACGGGCTTCGGGCAGAGGATGCCTGCCTGTGCCCGGTCGGGCTGCCCGATGCCCGACTGGCTGCCCGAAATTTTTTTTTTATATTATATTTTTATGTTGTATAATAAATAATAAGTATTTGTAATCATTTGTATAATTACAATGTGTATATTACAATTTGAAATTTGAAATGAACACACGAACTATATAAAAAAAATTACTTCTTCATTGATTTTTAAATTTGTAATTCACGATTGCCTCGTTAAAAAACTTACCAAGAAAAACCCAATTGGGATAAAAACTTGGTAAGGAAAAAAGAGTGCAATCATTGTGGGACGAATTACAAATTTGACGAACTTACAAAGTCTATACAAGATTACAAATTACAATAAACACTATACAAATTAGAAATTACAAAGTAAATAAATATTTACAAATTAGAATAATAAAATTTAATTTGAAGCAGAAGAATTGTCTTGAAAATTAAAAGTTAATCTATTAAATTCGTCAATCCATTCTTGGTTTGCCGGTGAGATTGTATCGTCTAAGCGTTGGTCGGAACGGTCTCAATCCTTGATGCACATCAAAACTTCAACAATATCCTGCTGCAATGCGTTTCTCCGTTCTTCAAGTATTCGGCCGGTTGTACTGAATGCTTGTTCGGCTGCAACAGTGGAGACCAGGATCGAAAAAATATTCATTGCCAGTCGTATTAGGATCGGCGAAGTTAATGCTCGTGCCCTCCACCACTCAACCAAATCAAACATTTCACTATTGTCTATAACTAAGCCCTCACTCAGGTACGCCATTAACTCGTTGAATCCGCTGCCACCTCTTGATGAAGATCCACTTCCACTCCCAGATTCTTCTTGACCTTGACACATCGTCGTCTTCTTCTTCTTCTTCTTCTTAGACAACCCGAAAACATTCAAGAATGAATGC